CACGCACACGCACACGCACACGCACACGCGCACGCGCACGCGCACGCACACGCACACGCGCACGCGCACACACACACACACACACACACACTCACACATTCACTCACCCACACACACTCACCCACACACTCACACACACATACACATACACACCATCGTCACCGTTACCTCAAAGGGCTTAGGCCATATCCACTCCGTTGGCCAATTTTAGAACCAAGAATTGTGATCCTTCTTCAACGTTCAGGTTTCATCATGATATTTTCTTTCACCGTTAGCGAGAGGTATAGCGAGAGGTATTAATTTTACATACATATACTTCACGCCTTTTTCCATTGGGGTACATGCCTTCGCAGGGACTCAACCATTTTCCCACTAAGCAACCAGCCCACAACTATTCCCTAATCGTCTTACTTCAAAGTCGACATATTGAAAGGAATTTATTTTTCAATTTCTGAAGTTCAGAAAAGGACTTAAAAAATATATCGGGTTCGATATTTCACACTGAGGGTCGTATTCCAGAACAGTACTCAATGCTCAAGTCAGGATTTGAGCAGACTTGAGTATGATTTCAAGCACTGGAAATACGACCCTAATGGCAAGGACTTGAGTATGATTTTCAGTGCTCACTGCAATACTCAAGTCCTGACTTGAGCATTGAGTAGAGTTCTGGAATACGACCCTAAACATCAGGTTGACTTTGAAGATGGTTAGGTTACTGGGCACAGCTATTTTTTTTAAGTGACTGGTCCACCTCATTCAAATACCGGGTTGGCCATTCATGTATGGTTGCAATTAAAAAAGTAAACACATCCTTTTAGAATCCACAAGTCCCACATCCTTTTAGAAACCATAAATCTCTCTGGACTTTCTTTACTTTTTTCAAGAAACCAAACAAAAAATAAAATGATTGCATAAATAACTTAATTACTAAGTTTGTCATCATCATCGTCAACTACTTTTTACTGTTTGACACGAAACTGTTAGCTAACACGCCAGTCTTAGCTTTTTGAACGTCACGCTATTATAGTTTTTGGTTGGGACGTGCCAAGAAGTATTTTATCTTGCAAGGGACACCAACACAACGTTATTACCTATCGTCTAAATTTATCCATTTGTCGCTTTCAAAAGCACAATCCTTTCTAACGTGACAGGAAGTATCTTGCGTGGTATTTAATGTTGTCTTCAAAATGTCTTCTCTTCATTCCGACTTCATCCATCTTTTCCCGACCAAGAAATCAGTATAACCCAAACCTCAACGCTCGAAAATAAGAGGCCTATCGTAATACAATTCCGCAACGTCGATCCGTTGATTTATTTATATAATTTGATCACTATCCCCGCGGTAACGAATGGACGACTGGTTTCCACGAAATTGTACGGATGACTGTTTGTAGTAGACCTTTTTTGCTGTCAGCTGACGGGCTGCCACTAAATTAATCCGGGAGTTCAGATTTGGGAATATTTGTAACTGATATTGGAACTGAATATTTGACAAATGCGGTAAGTGACTACCTTGAGCTACTTGGTCCAGACTTATCATCCAATCTCAGCTTTGGGCGATACATCGAGTGCTTGGCAAAAACTGCTGCCAAAAAACTAAGCATACTATACAAGGTTGGGCAGTACTTTACACCTGAACAGCTTATAATCTGTATAAAGCACAAGTTCGCTTGTGTATCATATGGAGTACTGCTGCCACCTTTGGGATGGCTCTGCCCATTACCAGTTACCTACCTACCTTGGACTCGGTGGGGTGAAAATCAAAGAGGCTTATTAACAACAATTGTGGAGTCGAAGCTACACAATCTCGACCATCGCAGAAAAGCTGCTTGTCAGTTTTCTATGGAATCATTTCGGGGAATGTGCGCCAGAACTTTTAAATTTGGTTCCACCCTCACCGTTCCTGCTCCGGTCGACTAGAAGGTCCGAAACATTCCATCCTTATGTCGTTGATATACCACCCATTCGCACTAAGCGTTTTGCTTCCTCCTTTCTGATGCGTACGGCAAAGGAATGGAATAATATACCGGCTAAAAAAAAGGACGAGGTTCTCAATTCGATTGTATGTTTTTTTTGTATTTTTTTTGTATGTATGTTACGCGATAACTCCGGTATTTGTGAAGCGATTTTCATGATTCTTTTTTTTGTTGGAGAGGGGGTACTTCCATAGTGGTCCCATTTCATTTTGAAGAAAGTCATCCACTTCACATCCATTTAAAGTACTGCCTTTAAGGGTGGCTGTTCACGCATGAATATTCATATTTATAAATAGCGCCTAAATTTTACTTAGGAGCAATTATTTTAATGGTTGATTTTGCTATTTCTCCAATTTAAGGCGTTTTCTCTCAATATACTTTGAGTAGTGAGAACCGATTTTTATTATCTCCAGTGTCAGTTCTTTATAGTGGCGAATTTAAGGATATTTCAATAAAACTTAGCAAATAGACGTAATTCCACGTACTTTTGAGGTCGGTTTTTAAGTACTCTGTACTGAGATTATTTACACTTTATGTTTAGCTGCCAATATGTTGACATCCATAGATTTGCATCCCGATATAGTTAAAATATAAGTATTGGTTTCGTACCAAATATTGTACACCATATTTTACGCAAATAAATATATAGATTTAATAGCAATAAATAGATTTCTCATAGATTGCGCTACGGCTAAAAAGTCGTTGAAAAAACCAAATACAATGATCCAACAACAAACACATAGAAAAAATCGTGAAGTCCCGTGGCTTAGTTGGCGTAGGGTCTGGAATGGTTTGCTAGAAGACGTCGGTTCGAACCGGCCGGATCGAAGAAGTGTTCGATCTTTGTATTAATAATTATAAATAAATATCATTCAAAACCATACCATAAACCATAAATATCGTTAATTCCCTGAGACATAAGTTGACAAGTCTCATTTGCCCTAATTTCACCAGCACCCTAATCCTTCAATACCGAAACACAGTCAAGTTCATATTACCGCTTGGCGGCAGAAATTGATAAGGTGACAGCACTTCCCTCGACGAACTCCTTTCACAAGGACCTCTACTGCTACTATATATATTTTTCTTTTTAAGTCAAAGGCAAAGGTTATTTATTCCATAGGCAAAATAAATTTACACTTGAAAACGTCACATTTAAGCTAGCGCTCGTTCACTACGCTGAAGAAAAAAGAAGAAACACGAGGGGTTGCTCTTTTCAAATAAACTTAAATGCTATGGAATACACGGCTTCGGAATCCACACAAATTTGATTCAAAGTAATCAAATTTGTGTAGATTCCGGAGCCGTGTCGTCTTTCCATACATCTTTATCTAATACGTAGTCTTCAATTTTGTAATATGATTTTTCTATCAAAGTATTTTTAATGTAGTTTTTAAACGTAGGAAATGATAAACTTAATATATGCTCCGGAATCTTATTGTAAACACGTATACAGTTCCCTATAAAAAACTTGTTTACCTTGGTTAAACAAAATCGTGGTACCATGAGTTTGGACTTAGCTCTAAGGTTAATATTATGGATATCTTCTTTCTTATTGAAATTATGTATATTGTTACGGGCATATAAAATATTTGAGTAAATGTACTGTGATGCCACAGTCATGATACCAGTCTCCTTAAACTGTTCTCTGAGAGAAACCCGAGAGCCTAGACGGTACACAGAACGAAACGCTCGTTTTTGCAATACAAATATGGTTTGAATATCTGCCGCTTTACTCCACATGAGAATCCCGTAGGACATGGTCACGGGTTGACTGATCACCGATGATGAACAGTCAACCCGTGACCATGGAGCGTGCAACCGTTCCGAAATATCGGGAAAATAAAAAGAAGTCATACCGTGGTAAGAAATCTGATACTAGTGATAATCATTTAGTGAATAACCACGAAAGTCTTAAAAACTATATAAAGTAAACTAGTCTAGCAGTACTAACATCGGTAAGGTCACGTATCCTGCGGACTGCGCATGCAGCGGAGCTTAATCTACTGGCCAGGGAAGATATATGTGGAAACCATTGAAGTTTACTATCTAAGGTCACTCCCAAGAAGACTGCTTTATTAACAAGGTCTAACTTTTCTCCGTTCATTTCTATGCTTGGACTAGTTGATTTTTCGTTAGGTAATTCAAATTTAATAAATTTTGTCTTCTTGGCATTAAGCAATAAATTGTTAACATTAAACCAATAAACTACCTTAGAGAGGGTATCATTAATATTGTCATAGTTAATGTCATGTCTGTCTGTTTTAAAAATCAAGGATATGTCATCAGCAAACAATACTATTTCGCAATGGTCCTTAACAAAGAATGGCAGATCATTAATATAAATCAGAAATAAGAAAGGTCCAAATATTGAGCCCTGCGGAACAACCATTTTTACCGGAGAACCCAAAGAAGTCACTTCATTTATGTTAACATTTAAAAACACTAACTTTCACTAACATTCAAAATGTAAGAAGAAAAATCAATATGAACAATGAATTGTATAATAAACGGAGTGACGTACATAATTTTAATACTAAACATAAATGGAAACTCGTGTTACAGAAGTTAAGACTTCGGAGGGTTCTCGGTTTTTTTTTTGTGAGGCAAGGTTTTGAGTATTATAATAAAATCCCAAAAGCAGTTTTGGATTTAATATCCTTTGATAAGTTCAAAAATCATGTAAAGGCAGCTCTACTAAACAGAGGATATTACTCTATTAGGGATTACGTAAACGATTAGATAGTATGGTTTTAAGATTTGTGTAAATATAACGATTTCAAGTGTAATTAAAAATAATTCTTACCTTCGAAATAAAGATAATTTTCATATTCTATGCTGATCAAACAGCAAACAACAACGTGCTTCATAACCACACCAATATCTGATCTCAAGCTAGGACTTTCCTATATTATGGGTACCAGAGCACCGAAATTAACTCCAGGACAATACCCAGCCAACCAGAACCAATTTAGGAAAACTCATTTCCCTAATTGATCCTACCGGGAATTGAACCCTAAATGAAAAAGATAATGCTCGCTGAACAGAACACTGCTACTTACAATGTTTAATTGACTTAAACTGATCGTTGCTTTAATTGGTTGAAACAAAGAGACATGAAAATTTGTTGTTTCTAACCCCCGACTCAAAAAGAGGCGAGTTATAAGTTTATCTATAGCCTGTCTTTTTTGAAGACGGAGTAAAATGACATTTGCAAGGTTGGCAGGTTTCATAAAATTTTAAATAGTCATGAGCTACAAGACTTTTAATTAAATTATTATTGAATTGATATTCAATTATTTTTTGTGAAATTACTCCACTAGTTTGTTATAATTATTAATACAAAGATCGAACATTCATAAAAAATTCCTTCGATCCGGTCGGATTCGAAACGACGTCTTCTTGCATACCGTGCCAGACGCTATACCAACTAAGCCACGGAACGAACCAACGGACCTCACGATTTTTTCTATGCGCTTGCGTCGTGTCTTTGTATTTGGTTTTTCAACGACATTTTAGTCGTAGCGCCATCTATGAGAAATCTATGAAAGATTTATCACCCAGTTAGGACCTTTACAGCTACCAGTCCTGGCGAGAGATGTCGCTATTCACTGTATTAATTAAAAAAAATACAAAGATCGAACACTCAGAAAAAACTCCTTCGATCCGGTCGGATTCGAACCGACGTCTTCTTGCACATGATGGACAGCTGTTTTTTTTATGATGCCAAATATCGGGACGAACAAGTCGTGCGCCTGGTTGTAAACGACACGCCTGTCCACACCAGTTGCAGTGTACTTAGAACTTTAAATCGCTAAGACCTGAGCGACACTGACACTGCGGCCGTCACCCGGAAACATAGTTGATAAGTCTCTTGTACCTGAAATTTCACCAGCACCCTTAACTTCAAAACAGGAATTGCTTGGCGGCAGAAATAGGTAAGGTGGCAGTACTTCCCTGGACAAGCTCTTTCACAAGGAGCTCTACTACTACTGTTTAAAGATCATCATCTGTTTTTCCAGTTACAGGTTTACATTTTGTTGTTATATCGATACTTACACACCCAGTATTCACCTCCTAAAGCGAACCGAGTCCAGCAGTACGATTGTTTGAATTAAATTATGTGTTATTTTGTTCACAGTACCACCTGAAAGGCTGATAATCCTTAATCACGAAGGTAATGAAATCCAGGATAGGGTTCTGGGACCTTACGACGAAGGGACCGAAGTTAACCTAACCTGTGTTGCAGTAGGAGGTGAGTTTAAAATTTTTATCAATCAAACAATCTAGTTCTGAATGATTCAAACGAGTATCGATATTTTGAAGGGAATCGCCACGACCCCTTATTTTTAAGTCACTCGGTTGCTAATGCGAGAAGGTAGCGTTTGACCTCGATAAAACGTCATACAGTTTGGCAGTGTTAAGCCGAAAAATATCCAATTCACGCATTTGAGGGAACTAGTTTAATTTAGAAGAGGTAGCGAGAGAACGTAAAACCACGCAAAAATATATCTTAACAAGTATATAATAAAGCTGTGATAGGTATAATAAAACCGCAAATGATCACATGTTAAAAGTGCTTTTATAAGACGAAAGTAATTAATACATTTTAAAAATAATACCAACTAAATGAAACGAATCGCACCATCAGAATAAAATTGACTCAACTCAAAGTTTAAAGTTTTTTTATAGCATTAAGTGACGGGTGACGGTATTGTTGTGTCGTAACAGTTGCAGTGCCACTCAGAGCTTTAAATCGCAAAGATCTGAGGGGCACTGCCTCTACGCCCGTCGCTCTGAGACATAAGTTGACAAGTCCCATGTGCCTGTTATTTCACCAGTACCCTTCAAAACCGTAACGCTGTCATGCTGACACTACGGCTTGGCGGCATAAATAGGTAAGGTGGCAGTACTTCCCTGGACGAACTCTTTCACAAGGAGCAATGACATTTCGTCTCTATTTCTGGTTGTATACTCGATGACGAACGGCTATGGAGTGGAATTCCCTGTCTGCAGACTTGTTCCCTGAACGTTATAACTTGGGTCTTTTCAAGGCGAGAACGAATAGGCATTATTAAGGTGTGCATGCTCCATCGTCGACCTTATCGTCACTTTCCATCAGGTGAGATGGAAGTCAAATGCGCACTTATATTTTCCAAAAAAAAACTTTCATTTTTCAAAAATTATTATTATAAACAGAAAATTTAATATTTATTAAGATAAGACATAATGATTAAACAAAACACCACCACAGATAATATTACAAGTGCAAGCATTGACTTACAAATAAATGGACGACGGGTCTAATACAAAAACCACGAAAAAAATGTCCCAAGTCAAGTCGAAATTTAAATTGTAATGTCATCGCAGTATCGCGCTCTCAGTAGAACAAATGAAGACTAAAGCGGAGTGTCGCGCTCTGTATACGATTTTAGCGCCTTACAAGTGCGGACACTTTTTAGCGCGGACCCGACGTCCATATAATTGTAAGTCAATGAGTGCAAGTATCATTTTTGCACTTGAAAGTAGCGAATAAGGCGTTTTTGCTACGATTTTCGAGATTTTGCGCGAGATAATTGACCCGACCATAACATACACACAGCTAAGTACGCTCACTTTACCGCGTTTTAGTTAAAGGACGGCATAATGGCGGACTGAGCTCAAGTTTGCGGTACTCCGCAAACTGTTGGCACAAGTGCCACGCGAACTAAGCAATTCTACTGTATTGATTATCTACTGTATAGATTATATTATGTTGTCTTAACGCATGCAAAATAGCTGAAAGACATGGTGCAATAAAAACTTTTTCAAATAGTTGATATTTGTTAAAGAGAAGCAAATTGTAGTAGAATTTGGTATAGCTTCCGCTCCAAACTTAGCCCACAATCACGTACTTTGACGAGGGTCACGCAGAGAGCCCTTTTGTTTTACACATTTTTTTTATATACTTTTGTTCGCGTACAGGCTTCCGGTGTTGTTCCGTAGTTAGAAATTTCCCTACCTTTTAGTAAAAAAAAAAAATCTACGTCAAAATTCTCGTATTTTTGTTTCTCTTTGCTTTAATGGACGTAAAACATTATTTAGCTACGTTTTGTTTTTTTTGTTTATGGTATACAAAACATTTAACATTTTTTTTATTTGTTTGGTACGAACAGTCATTGCGTTACAATATTAATGAATAAGCACCAAATACATAGGCTAAAAGAGCTTAAATAATATATATAAAATACCGCATTTTTTAACCAAAAACGAATAATTAAACCATAGGTGTTTAAACAAAATGCATAAAACTAAAGAAAAAACTTAATTACCCGGGATGTGAACTCGCGACCCCAGCCGTTACAGGTAGATTCTGCCCACTAGACCACTCTCTTACTCGCCGACACCCATACTACTTGGGAGACTACAATTAGTATATAAATAGGAACATTTCGAGCAATAAACGTAATCAGTAAATAGTTGACAAGTATTGCATTTCCGATCCTCAGAAGAGCAAGAACCTGAACAAATACAGTACACCGATCCAAATCATGAACACCAACGTCTTTGATCTTTCAAGAGCCTGATCATACAATCTTTGGTTGGCAGTTTGTTGTGAATGCTTACCTTAAATCACGGCCCCAATTCTTCTAACTTCTTTGAAACCAATGGTCATTGTAATTCCATTTAGACTAAACTGAGATCATTTTGTATGTATGTGTGTAAACACTTTATTGTACAACACAAACAAATTACAATTGTTTAACAAAGAAATTTAACGTTATTGTACAAAGGCGAGATTATCCCATAAAGGGATTTCTTCCAGCTAATGAATATTAGAAAGGAAAGTTGGCTCCTGCGTCGGAAATAAAATCTAATAAATCATTAAACTGAATGCTACATACTTAATTAAAGAATAAATTTATAATATCAAATGTACACACGAATACATAATATTAAATAAATGATGCACTAATACATATAAAATATATAATAAAATGGATATATAAAATAAGACCATAACTAAATATGTGAAACGTAAATAAATATTTTGTGAAGTCTAACATGAGAAGTCTGAATAATCTCAAGATTTCAAAAGGGCACTCCTGAAAGCCCGAACCGAAGGTGACTGTCTGAACAGGACTGGGAGAAGGTTCCACATACGAGCAGAGTTCACTGTGAACGACTCCGAATACTTTTGTGAACTGTGTTGCGGAATGACGAGGGACAAATTAGTACCGGAACGCAGACGATCACCCATAGCCTAACAGTATTGGAAACGCTCACGAAGATAACTAAGAAAAGAGGGATGGAAAAGGATTTTATATAGCAAACATAAATCGTGGGCATTTCTACGTAGACGGATATGCAGCAACTTCAGCTTATCTCTGAACCCGAAAATGTGATCGTACTTTTTCAAGCCAAACACAAATCTAATGCACTGGTGTTGAAATATTCTGCTAAAATCAAGTATAAATGGCAGTCGTGTGTCAATAAGGTGCCAGTGGAATTGTAGTGATAAAATTCATTCATTCAATCACTAACGATCGATGGTGCCTTACTGATACTACCGTGTTAATTACTCTGCATATCTTAATAATAATTAAATAATAATTTGTCAGTAATAATAATAATACTTATTTTTAATTAGTGTTAGTAGATATAGGTATATGTGTATATATATATTTTTCTAATCACCTGTCTCATGAAGCATTGTCACATGGGAGAGGTAATCCTACCAGCTACAGTTTGTAAGATGCTATTGGGCATTCTGCGCCATCTGCGAATCAGGAATGCTGTCTTTTTCCGGAGGATGACAGCAAAACCATCCGCCTTATATTCTGCAAACATCCCCGATGCACTGCAGAAACTATGTCGTCCCAACATCGTTCTAAAAATCTTATTGTACTGTACAAGTCTCCACCGGCCGTTTGGTGTAGTCATCGAGTATATAACCAGAAATAGAGACGAAATGTCATTTGATTTGTTTGAAAACTTTTCTGCCAAATCATTAAGGTGACAACTGCGCTTCGATTGGCCTGGTCGAATTGGAAATAATTGTTTCACTTCAAATCGTCCAGTTTGTTACATGTTTTGCTGTTTTTCGCACACCACCAAATGAACACAACAGCCCCCCATAGTTAAAGATATTATCTGTGTTATAATATATACAGAATATTTTTGGAATATACGGAGACATACACACAGGTCAGTTGTTGGCGCTATACTATTTCAGCTTTCTAATTTGTGATTTCAGTGCAAACGAGAGATGATATTTTAAAAGAGATAAAAGCCCATTTCCCTGATGAGTTGCCAGAGACGGATGGCCCTTATTTCGTCTCTATTTCTGATTATGTATACTCGATGGGTGTAGTTAACCCGGCTGCCTGGATGGGCTCCCGGTGTAGAAACTTTTATCATTCATTGGCACTCAATCGACACACAATTGAAATTAATTAAAATTAGCAGAGATAAATGTGAAGAAATTAAATAAAAGCTGCTAATTCGAAGCTCCACGTGAAATACTTTTTTGAAACAATAGATTCAGACGAACTTCGTATCTGCGTTCGATTTCTATGCAGCCTTCCTGTTTCATGCAAACTCGTTAAAACTTTAATCGAAAACCGGTTTAAATCAAACTTGCGGAATTAGTGATTTTTTGCGGCTCTATTTTTGTGCACCTCTAAAATATCAAAGTTGAGATCTTTTTACTTACGGAGCATGTGTAAGAGCCTATACGGAGTTATTTGTAAAACAGTATCAACCTCTCAGGACTGTATTACTAACGTCATAAAGTCTTTTGTTCTGTGACTTTTAGTATCAGATTTTACTTTCATACAAAAATAAATATGTTTAAATAGGTTGCTCTAAACGGTAATAACTCTGTGCAGAACGGGGGTGAGAATCATCACGGAGGACGCTTGCACGTTTGACGTTTTTAGTAGCAGTAGTTTGTCTATTGAAGTAGTGCCACCTTGCCTATTTCTGCCGCCAAGCAGTAATTTCAGCATTACTGCGTTTTGGTTTTGAAGGGTAGAGGTGTTTGTGAAATCACAGGCAATGATGTCAACTTATGTCTCAGACGTCGGGCGCAGTGGCAGTGCCCCTAAGATTTTTGCGGTTTAAAGTGGCTCTGCAACTGTTATGGATAGGCGTGTCGCTTGCCACCAGGTGCACGACTTGTTTGTCTCGTCACTTGGTACTATATATAAAAAAACAACTTTCGAGATATTAGCACCCTAAAGTTTTATTGTTACCTAATAAAATGAAAATTGCACGGGTTGCACGTCTCGATTCCCTAATCCCAAACATGGTCAAAGTCAAAGTCAAGTCGAAGTCAAAGATTATTTATTCCATAGGTAAAATAAATTTACACTTGAAATCGTCACATTTAAGCTACTGCTCGCTCGCTACACTGTCCTCCCTGAGAAGAACGAGCAAGAAACTGTAGGGATTGCTCTTTTCA